TGGTGCCGCAGCGCCCGGCGCGGGGACAGCTCCTCCGGCCGCGGGCAAAGGTCTGACCTCCCTCTCCCACCCCTCCAGCTCCTGCCTCTAGCAGCAGTACGTTCCTGTGTATCCACAGAGCTCCTCGGGCCCCTGTCACTGCCCAGCAGTTTGATCCCGATGTTGGTGTCGGTGTGGGGCTTTGTTTTTAAAGCCTGATTTTTCAAACTAAGTGTTTTGTTACACCCGTGGGTTTTTCTAAAAATAAAATGATAGTACAGATAACTCCTTTCCTGGCAGCAGCACAGTAACAGACCGAACACTTTCACCTCTGTGTGACCACTCTCTAGTCGAGAAAGTGGGGGACGCAGGGGAAAAACCCAAACCGCCCTGGGAGCAGAGAGCTGATTCCCCAGGTGGAGTCAGGTAGGAACCTGTGAACTGGGCCCAACATCTGCAAAGTGAGGACGTTGGTGCAGCCATTTAGAGGACAGTGTGGGAGTGTGATGGATATTATGGCTAAATCTCACTCCTCCAGGCCCTGAGACTCAGAGCACTGCTGTGGGACCCTGCGAGGCACGAGCAAGACAAAGACCTGGGGAACATAATGCATAGGACTGTCCTACTCCAGGCACAAACAGCTCCTTCCTATGACTAATTTCGTAACAAGAATCTTTAGTAGTTCGGCTAATTACTTCAAGTGGAAGAAGTGGGAACAAGGCAGTGCCTGGAGCTGGTTGTTCTTCTCCCCAATGGACTCTCCACACATGCCACAGTACAGCTCCATCTCCTCCACGCACTCGTGGAACTTCACCACGTGGTCACGCAGTTCTCGCTGCTGCTCCTTTGTGCGATAGATCCTTTCACACAGGCAGTGGAGCTTCAGCAGGCCGAGCTGCACGCGAAGGACAGAGACACAGGAAAAGTGAACAAGGTGAAGACGGGCCAGAAGCAGTGGGTAACCACTACAGCCCATCAGCCAGCTGGAGAAACACCAGCAGGGAAAGCTGCCTGGGGGACAGGATCAGTCACGAGGACGTGTGGTGTCCCGTGTGGTGTCTCAGCACTTCCTGCCATTAACCCTACTTTGTGTCACAAAAGGTGACACCAGGTTTGAGGCACTCTGCAGTTCTTCCATGGATGGCTTTCCTGAGCCACCCACCACACACAGTATATTTCACTTCCCTTTGTCTCCCACCATCACAGTTCAGCAAAACTATTTTTCGAGAAGAGACCCCTAATCCTTTAGCTCTCTGCTTGTTTCATACCCCATTTTTACTGCTGCCCATTCCTCTTTGCTTATCAACGATTTTGACTCCTCACTTGCTTTTCAGACTTGCACACTGATGATTATCTTTGCAACCACCCACATCTAAACACTTCATGGCAAAGCAAGTCCCAAGCATTGACTGGTTAATACAGGCATGTTAATAAGCAATAGCAAATCCAGATACTTCAGGGCTTGACTTCTTATGCTGCCTGACAGAAGATTATGTGAGATTTTGTAGGATCCTACCTTGTTCCCTAGTCCCTCTGCCAGCTCCTGTGCCTTTTCAATGCTTTCCAGAGCCTGTGAATGGAGAGCATGCACCATCAGTTCTCAGCCTAGTACCTCAAACCCCGTCTTGTATGAAGGTCCTATGGAAATTATTAAAAAAAAGAGGTAAAGAGATACAGAGTAAAACTGGTATAAACAAGCACCACTGGAACTCTGGAGATGCAAGGTGGCTGGCTGGCAGATTTCCCTCCCCTCCCAAGAGTTAATCCATGAGAAGAGTTTATTTTCTGAAAGACCACAGTAATCCAAGAGCTACATTTCTGTTCCAGCCACACAGTGCAAAGTAGGGGTATGATGTTGGCAGAGGCTGATGTTTCCAAGCAGAGAGAATATAGACTTATTTAAACTCAGTCGCACATGCTCATTGGGGCTGGGATGAATCGCAGGCAAAGGCTTTTCCCCATCCTACCCTACAGGCTCCATAATCATTAGGCAACTCCAATTGCACTTGTACAAGAGGGGAGGAAAGGGATCAGCAGCACTAATATACTGCACACTCATCCATTTTCCCCTGCTGCTCAGATACACACGTGGTATCTTACCTACACATGGTGTGATGTAGGAGTGTTCTGCTATCCACATTTTAAACCTGAAGGCAACATTGAGCATAGCAGCTGTCATACCAAATGAGTCCCTACTTTCCCCTAGATGTCACAGTGTTCCTCACTGTTCAGATCATTTGTCTCTCTTTTCCAGAGCTACTGAGATCTGCTTCAGGTTTGCCAAAGGGGAAGAAGAGATCTCCCTTGTGATGCAGTAGTTTTCAGAAGGAACATTATAAAATTCTTACCCTGTAATTTGGCATTACTGCTATTCTAGGGGAAGAGATGCAGATGATTTGGAAAAACGAACTGTGAATGCAGAGGAGATGTCATTAGATCTGTGGTGGCAGAAACAGCCCAGGATAAGGAACTTGAGGAGGGAAGCAGGAACTGGAGGCTAGCAGGCAGAACATAACTGAGAACTGTGCCTAGGAAGACTGTGTGTGTACTGGAAAACCCTGCAATTAATGACCAGGACCAAGAATCAAAGTGAAGCACGTAGGGTGACGTTGACAAGTCGTGGAGAGTTTGTCTTGGACAGGAATATGAGACTGCACAGGAATTTGGGCAGGCAAGCTGTGAGAGCAGCCCGGGAGGATCTGCAAAAGTATTGACTACATGCAAATGAAATGGACTAACTGGCCAAGGAGACCAGGAGGATGCAGGAAGATAGGACAAGAATAGGGAATCTCTAAGTGGAAAGTTAGCAAATTGCTTTATTACATAACTGATAGTGGGAAGAGTAGCATGAAAAACGGACACCAGGACTGGCAAGTTGAGGAACAGGCTTGGGTGAATATTCAGGGCTGTGACCTCTGAGGAGGTCACATTTGGCCAACAGGCACATGGTCCCTGACTCACCAGGGCAGACTTCCCTTTAATGCCTGGAACAGGACACAACATTCATCCCTTCTCTTCTTTTGTGGCTTTTGGTGAGATTAGGGTTCTGTGCAAAGCCCCCACCATGCTCTCCTAAGTAAGAGCTACATGTGATATCAGAGAGTGGCAGATGGAATTGGTGGATGGAGGGGTTTGATGAGTGCTCTGAAGATTCCTTTCTGTAAAGCCTACCTGCTGTGCCCTGTCCTGTTCTTTTGACACTGATCAAAGCTTTTAAGTCCACAGTTTCTTCTTCCCTTGTTAACACAGAGTTTCCTTGCTGAGATTGCACAGTGTATCTCACCCAACCGATCCTCTGCTGTAGACACCTCAGATGCTAACAGCACCATGAATTTGTCTTTTCTGTCACATGTATACTTGATGTCCTAATATATCTGAGATGCTTCCTTTGAGCTGGGATTCTTTGTGTCTCAGTGTGACTGACAGTGAACTTCCATCACATCTGGACCCAGACCATGATGTGGCACCGTGCAGGTATTCCAGGTTGTTCAGCATTAGTTCAGGGCTAACCTCCGAGCATTTCGTTCTCTTGCTGAGTAATGTTCCTGCAGTGCAATGTGCTGCAGCTAGTACAGTCTGGATTTCGACACACACGTGCACTGCCTAAGCATCTTCAAAAGAAGTAGCTCCACCCTCTTGCTCTATATTGACCTATATTCCTATTCCCAAATTACTTTCTGCTCTCATTGCTCTGTTTCACATCAGAGTGTACAAACCTTCACATTTCTTCAGGAACTGGATGCCTCGTTTGCCTGCAAAGCACATGGTGGGGCTGGAGAGTTGTCTAAACATCCTCATTAGCATATCATGAGATTAGCCATGTAACTAAAAAGTAGGCAGTGGAATCTATTTCAGAACATAAGCTGATTGTCTGCAATGGTAGGAGCAGATTTCCTTCCCCCACTGCTGGTTTCTCAGCGTAGTGCTGGTAATCATCAGGACTGACTAAATGAGGCAATTCTGTAACTATGCAGTCAGACCCAGAGTGAATGTTCCTATGATTAGTAACAAATTCCTGGCTCAGAGAGACCATTCAGAGAAATGTAAATGTATAAGCACCAGACCCTGTTGACAGAACCAAAAGGTACAGGTCTCTTCTGACCTGTACCCCCATCAAAGGGCAGTACAAGACTATACTCTTGTCTAACAAACTTGTAGAAACAAGTTTGTAACTGACCTTGTCCAGCTCCTTCTGGATCATCCAGCACTTGGTCACTCCCAGCAGCACCTGGATCAGGCCCAGGCGGTTTCCAATCTCCGTCATGATGCTCATGGAAGAATCATACCGAGGAAAAGCTGTCTGCAGAAGCAGGGAGGAAAATGACATGTTTTGCTCTGGCCTGCTTGTCATACCCTCTTGCTATTCCCTCTCTCCTTCCTGGCAGAAAAGAGCTGTACCTGCACGTCTTTGCGACTGCGATGGATGTCTGCAAAGCACAGCAGACACAGTGCTTGCAGTGGCCTGTCACCGTGCTGCAGAGCAATCTTCATGGACTCCTGAAAGAAATTGGCTTTGGTTAGTAGAAGATCTCATTCCTGGTTCGTAACAGCAAGGCTGGGACTGTGCACTCTGGCCACTGAAAGATCAGCTCCAAAGAAATGGCATCACCTGTTAGGGCAAGGAGGGTCTTTTTCGCATGTTCCCAGCCAAGGGTCATTCATAAACCCAAATTTTGAGGCCCTCTGGGCTACTGAAACCACAGCTCTAGGACTGGGAGGCAGAAGGACCATCTCGGGTGAAGGCTGCCTGCCCCGGTGCCCTGCCTCCCTGCGGCGCGGCGCCCCAGGCCGCGGTGCCCGTACCTCGCAGCAGCCCATGGCGTCCGCCAGGTGCCCCAGCTTGCGGTAGGCCACGGCCATGTGGTACTGGCTCATGGCACGGTACTTCAGGCTCCAGCTCTTCCCATAGTCGTTCACCAGCTCAGCTGCTTTACAGGGGAAGAACAGGGCTTTCTCGTAGTCCTGTAGGGCAGATAAGCAGACAGACTGCAGTGACAGCAAAACCAGAGCAAAAAGGACAGAAGGAAACCCCAGCCATTCTGTATTCGCTAACACAGCAACAGCTAGCAGAGGTCTGTGCACCTCTAGACTCCTGCTGCTCCTCTTCCACACGCTGTGTCAGTATCAGACTGTGCAAGGTGCAACTGCCACATATTGAATTAATGGCATTCTCTGGGTTCAGGACACTAGGGCAATGACCCAGCAAAGGAATTTCATGTCCTATGTCATCACCATTTACCCTGCAGGAACCATTTACCCTTCTCTATAACCGAAGGCTGAGAACTCTCTCTGCTCCTTACATCATCTCTGCTTTCAGCATCTACACAGATGGTGAGTCAGGATCTTCAATAAGCTGGTTATCCATCATTGCAGGAAACAGCAATAACACATCCTGGCTTTGCCAAATTCATTAGAGCAATAATACAATTTCACTTTTTGCATTAAAAGCATTCTAGAAATAAGTCTCATTTTACAATAATTTTACAAAATGTACCTAAACACCTAAAAAACATTCTCAACTTACATGAGGCTACAGAAGTGAAAAGGTCCTCATTTTTTAAATTCTCCACAATGCACAAAGGAAACCACAACTTCTAAAATTTCCTTTCTCCCTTCTTATTTCATACTTAAAAGTATTCAGCACAATGCCATTTTCTTTATTTTTGGTATTATGAGGAAAGTTTATTGACAGTTTTCCACACTTCAGTTGGCGAGTCTTCCATTAGTGGCAAAAATCAAGACTTTGTGAGAAAAATCTGCTTGTTGCTGTTTGTACTAGAAGTTAAAACTGGCAAGTCACCCCCATGCTCAGCTCCTGCCTGTTTTTACCTCCAGCTGCTTCCCGGCAGCTATTTGCCTAGCACAGCGGCAGGGAGAGAGTCTCGGAGTTCTGGCTGCCAGCCCTATGTGCAGGCAGTATCTCCTCTGATGTGGTCTTCTCTGAAGCTAAATCTGATCTTTTCAGGACTCAGGAATATTCACAGCTGCTTCTGCTGTGCTGCATAAAAGTGACACTAATCCTCCCCATGCTCACTGTGAAGGAGAGCACTCCACAATGATTTCACAAAGGGATTTCAGCTTACAACGCTCTCTCCGTACTTCGCTCCCTACAGGAAAGACACAAGCTGAAAATCACACCATTTCCAATCCTTTCCTGAGTCCCAGAGACAGTCACCCTTCCGTCCCTCAGCTTACCGCACCTTTATCTGGGTGTAGAAGTTGCCGAGGCTGCAGCAGACGCGACACTCCAACATCTTGTCATCGTTGTTGTGTGCGTAGCGTAAAGCCTTCTCGAAGCACTCCAGAGCCTTCTGGAAAATGCTGAGGCCCAAGAAGGCGTTGCCCATGCTGAGGCTGACCTGGCCATTCAGCTGCAGGCTCACAGTGGTGCCCTGCATGTTCAGGCAGGTCTTACAGTAAGAGATTGTCTTCTGGAATTCGCAGAGTTTCTCGTTGCTGCGAGCCAGGTTCAGATAGCTCTCAGTAAGGTAATCCGGGTCTTTCAGCTCCCGTGCTGTGTCAATCTGTACCACTGCAAACTTGGAGTAGAGAAGACAGTGTTTATAGAAGTATGAAGTTTACTTAGGCATAGGTCAACCACCCAGAGAGCACTGGAGCAGCAATTCCTCTCTGAGCAGGGCAGAGAAATCCACCAGCACAGACAGAGAAGCTTCATATGTGCTGAGCAGTTATCTGCTGGTTAAAATGGCCTGTGAACCCTCAGAAGAAACCTCTCCCTCACACCACCTCGGGCAGCGAATATGAACTAGGCTGATGGTTAGTGGAAAAAAGCTGTTAAATGGCCCTGAAGAGAAGCAGGCGAAGCAGGAAATACCTGACAATGCAGCTCAGTTTTCTTTCACTCGGTTTAGTTTATTCCACTTCCTCTGGAGTTCTTAAGTTATTAAAGTACTCTACTAATAAAAGAAAGCACGATGCTTCTTTCATCAATTTTTACTAATAGATTGAAATCTGGACAGTTTTTGTTCTCTGAAGACAAAGAGAGACTTTTTCTTTCAGACTGCAAACTGACTGACTCTGTGCTGTGTGACGTCCCAAGCGCACTGCTGGCTCGAGTTCACACCGGGAGCGAAGGCCAATAGGTAGCAATGTTCGTTAGAGATGGTTTCATTAGGTTTGTGGAAGACAATTCTCAAGGGAATCAATTGCTTCCTTTTTGTATATTGGCAACAGGTTTAATTTAAGCTACTAGAACATTTTACATTCTTCACAAAAAAACCCCAATTAAAAAGCCAAATCCCACCAACAATAAATTGTGTATGTTTGGGTTTGAGTATCTTCTCAGCTTCCGCAGCAATTAAGGAAGGCTGCCATGTGGGTCCAGGGATGGTCACTGCTCATGATTCCTCACGCTCCCTTACCTTTTTACAAGTTCCTCGTTATTTCCTGATTGCCACAGCCTCTTTTCTTGGCGTGAAGTTAATTTTTCTCTCCAAAAGAGGCTGAGCATCACAACCCTTCTTAAACCACTGTTTATCTCATGCCTTTAATTCTGACCCCTTTTCTCCTGTTATTTCATCTCAACTGCCTAAAATTGTCGTTTCTCTATCTTTGACCACTCACTGTGTTAAATTTGGTTAGACTGAAGCCATTTTTCCTTCCTACTACTGGGAAGAACTAAAATTCACCTACCCTGATTCCACTTTCTGTTCTCTTCTCAGCTAACAATTTAATGTTCAGCTATACTTAATTCTGACCCCTTTTCTCCTGTTATTTCATCTCAACTGCCTAAAATTGTCGTTTCTCTATCTTTGACCACTCACTGTGTTAAATTTGGTTAGACTGAAGCCATTTTTCCTTCCTACTACTGGGAAGAACTAAAATTCACCTACCCTGATTCCACTTTCTGTTCTCTTCTCAGCTAACAATTTAATGTTCAGCTATACTGAATCCCCTCCCTTTTTTTTCTTTTCCTCTGCAGTGAAGCTTCTATAGAATCTACCTGGAGACCTTCTTACACTAACATACACACTACAAACAGCTTGGAGTGGAGCAAAGACCTTGTTTTCATACCTTTTCCTGCAGCCTGGTATGTGAGGAATAAATCACAAAGGTCCTCATGATTAACTGGAGAATGTAAGTAACCTGGGAATCCTGAGGAACCAGACCCAGAGCAAAACAGGACTCTGTGTATGCTGTGGGTGGGAGCTCTTGGTCGGCGCAGAGATCCCAGCAGCCCATGGCACACGCTCAGGAGTTGGTGTGGTCTGTTACAAACAAAACAACTCCCCGATTTCACCTTCTCATCTCCAGCCATGGTCCTGCTGGGTGCAACACAACGGCATGCATTCATTTCCAGTTCATCTTACCTTCAGCATGTCTTTGTATCTGCCCATCTCTGCATGAGCAGTGATGAGGCAACCCAAAACCCGAAACCTGCCAGCAGGATCCGCAGACTTCTCCAAAACCCTCATCCAGACTCGCAGGGCCTTTTCCGTCTGGTTAGACTGGTAAAGATGGAGTCCTTTCTCTATCTGTTGCTTTGTCTGGTCCTGACCCATCTCCCACGCATTCAGAAGCCTCATGCACTGACCTCTCAGGACAGCAAAAAGGAAGTGCTCACAAGAGAACACAAAGCCAAATGCCCCAGCAGAGGAGGGTGGGCTGTGCTCAGCAGGCTCGGAGTCATAACCACCCAGCCATGTTAGGGGCTGGAGCTGTGGCAGGCAATGGCAAGAAGTGGTTGCTTGGCACTGAAAGGAGAAATCCCAAATCCATTAGGCAAACATCTCGTTTGCTAGGCCTCCATCAGTGCCTTCATCTGGCCAATCCCGTACACAAAGAGGAAAAGCACAACAAGGAGAAAGAGAAAAATCTCAAGCGACAGGAGTGAAACTCAATCCAAGCAGCCAGTGCTGCTCTCCTCCCCATTTGCTGCA